TCCTATATTCATCTCTTAAATTCTGTTTACCTGTTCTTAACTCCAGACATCCTTAAAGAAATAAGCAGAAAGAGGAAGAGATTGCATTGGTGGGTTAAGATTTACCCTGGGCAGTGGGGAAAGCTGTGGCTCATCAACTACAGTGGTGGCTGTAGTGAGTATCTCAGATACTCCTGGTCTGGACCATACTTGGTGGGGCAGGTCTCCAGGGTTGCCTTCACTGACTTCATAAAACTCTTTAGATTTTGCAAGCCTCATTTCTCTTGGTATTTCTATGGCATCATCAACATCCTGGAGTTAGTAATACAAAGTGGGCTTAGATGGGATAGAAGATGTGAGACACAGAAGCTGAAGTTACTGTGTGGAGAAAAGATGGGAACCCCCCCAGGTCACTTCTGCATGCCTTCAGTTCATTGGGGAATGCATATGCCTATTGATCACCCTGGCTTCCCACCATTAGGGAATACATGTGGCTATTAATCACCCTGACTTCCATCATTAGGGAATATGTGTGCATATTGATAGCCCTGGCCTCCTGTCATTAGGGAATATGTGTGTCTATTGATCACTCTGGCCTCCCATCAACATCAAGTGACTTCTGCAAACCATGCTATCATTTTTGGTAGAAAATAAGATACTACTTTGTCTTATATATTTTAATATTTTCACATATATAATTAGTTCTCTAGCTGATTTCTTCAAGTATATCTTTCTAGTACGATATCTGCTTGAAACAAAACACATGAGCCTTTTGAGATAAAGTACTGATCAAACAATCACCTTGCCTACACACATCAGTGGCCTCCCATTGCTTGTAAGACAAGGACATACAAAGTCAGCATGTGGCTGACATCTGTTGCCTGACATCACCCATCTTCCTCTCAATAGTCCAGAATTTGGAGATGCCTCTGAAATAATTTTTTTCACTCTAGTACCTATTTTATTGTTTTAGGAAATATTTATTTTATTATTGCTTGAGGCTAAAAGATGGGTCAGTGATTAAGAAAGCTTGCTGTTCTTTCAGGGGAACAAAGTTCAGTTCCCAACACCTGCATCAGGGAGCTCAGAGCTGCCTGTAACTCCAGCTCCAGGAAATCTGATGCCCTTTTCCAGCTTCAGGAGACCCCTGCAGGCATTATATATATTGACACATGATTTTTTTCTTATTTTACTTTGTGTGTGTGTGTGTGGTGTATGTATGTGGTATATGTGTATGTATGTGTGTATATGTGTGTGTGTGGTATATGTGTGTATGTGTGTGTATGTTGTATATGTGTGTATGTGTGTGTATGTGGTGTGTGTGTGTATGAGTATGAGTATATATGCAGCATGGATGTGATCATGTGTTGTGGTGTGGTTCCATTCCTCTGTGGAAACAGCCGGAAAGCAAGGGCTTGTCTTCTATTTATTACCATGTTCATGGCTTGTCACGTGGGCTCAGAAAAGTCACATATCCTCAGGGAACCCCTGCTGAGTGAATGCTTGAGATTTGTATTCTAACCTCTTCCAAAGCTTGTTGACGTTTCTGCTCTCCTGAAATGGTCACAATTGCATGTCTATAGTTAGGGTGTTTCCCACAGCCATCCATGCTTAGATGTATCTCTTCACAATGGGTGAGTTTCTGAATGGGCTCTAACAAACACAATTGGCCTTCTGTGTGCGCCTGGTTTTCCTCCGCTCGAGAAGATGTAACGAAATAGCACAAACTGAGTGTAACGGAAATTCGATTCTCATAGCTTTGGAGGCCAAGAAATCCACAATTCAGGCAGCAATAAGTCTGGTGCACAGTGCAGGCCTGCTTCACAGGTCAGAGCCAGAACCCTCTCATTCTGTCTGCTCCTGGTGAAAGGGGCAAGGCCGCTGAGGCCTCTAATAAAAGCTCTGATCCCATTAGGAGAGGTCAGCTGCCAATCACCTCATCACAGACTGAAGCCCTGCCTCCCCAAAGCATCACATTGATGGCTCAGTTTCAACAACAGATTCTGATAAAGAGACAAGTATTTCGTCCTTAGCAATGCCTTAAAGCAAACTTCATACTGTTCTGTGCGTTCTTATCTCTGGTGCGGGATCAGTGTCCTAAAAGCCAAAAAGTCATCATGGACAAACATAGCAGCTCTCGGTGTGGAAGAGTGTCTGGAATATTCTTACCCTAGACTTTGTAATGTCCTCATTTCAACTCCTCTTTTCCAAGACTCATGACAAGCCCAGAATATTCATTTGCTTCACTAAACCACCCCAACTGTTTAACTTCAAAACTGGCATTCTACAGTTTCCTGATAATAGATGATGGTGATGGTGGTGATGATGATGGTGATGACAATGACTGATGGTATGATGGTGATGATGGTAATGAAGATGGTGGTGATGGTGATGGCAGTTGTGATAATGAAGGTAGTGGTGATGATGGTGGTGGTGGTGACCATAGTGATGGTGATGGTGGTGTTGACAACGATGGTGGTTGGTGGTGATAATGATGGTGGTAATGGTGATGATTGTGGTAATGACAGTGATAGTGGTGGTAATGATGGTGATGGTGGTGGTGGTAGTGGTTATGATGATGGTGATAATGAAGGTGGTGGTGATGATGTTGATGGTGGTGGTGATAATGGTGGTGGTGATGATGGTGATGGTAGTAGTGTGATGATGATGAATGGTGATGGTGGTGACCATGGTGACGGTGGTGATGATGGTAATGATGGTGGTGATGGTAGTGGTGGTGGTGGTGATAATTCAGATAGTGGTAATGATGGTAAGGAGGAGAAAAATAACAATGATAAGCACTGAGATCATATTATCTCTCTGGTGGATACCTGAACTATCAATCAGAACACTGATTGACAAGTGTGGGTCATAACTGCTCTGACAGTGGGGAGTCAGTCAATATGTGCTGATTAGTTTAATATTAGTTTGTGCCTTCACTATGCTCTTCAGCTCTTCTTTGAAATCTTATTCTAAGTCCAAAGCACATTTCATAAAAATTTTTATTACAATCTCATGAAAATATTTAATGTCACAAATCAGGAATTTTAAAAACAGAAAATAAAAGAAACACAGTAACACTTCAAAGTTTAAAGGAACTGGGAAATTGGTTTACTCTACTGAAAAGAACATCTGTGTTCACTGCAACACAGAAAGGTAAAAAGCCATCCAGTGAATCTCTGCAACCAGCAGTCTCTTTAGACTTTGTTAATTCCAAGAAGCCTGACTGGAGTGGTTTTGTCCAACGTATTTTCACTGGACTGATGAGCAGATGATATAAATGACAGTTTGAGCCATGAAGGGGTTGTGGCTGCCCACTGGCTCCATTCCCATTCTCTCATCCCTCACTACTGCACCCAGACTTTGTCTAAGGCAGAAACAATATTCACCTTTCAAGAAACACTCTCCCCTCAATGGGGCTTTGTTACTCAGAAGGAGGCAACAAAATAACAATAACAGCCCACAGGATAATTTTTTTTAATACAAAGGTCAAACTCATTTTGCCTTTGCATTACCCTCAGCCCTTCTATTCCCATCTGGAATATGCACGCGATATAATGCCACATGGAGGAAATGACAGGCTGAGAAGATGGAGAAGGACCATGCCCTTAGGAGCATCCTCTTGTGGTTCGTGAGCTCTGAACTACCAACTCAGGCACCCCCACATTGCTGCAATTGCTTGTGCAGTCTAACATGTGCTTAACCAATATTACAATTTTCCAATGCCTCTTTTATTTGATATAAATGTCATTGACAGATTATAAGTGTAAGCAGAGACTGTGCATTTATTTCCTGGTGGCTCAGACCCAAATAATAACACAAAAACTATATTAATTACAACACCAATGGTTCAGGCATAGTTTTAGCTAGCTCTTACATCTTAAATTAACCCATTTCTATTCATCTATGTATCACCACAAGGATTACCTACAGGTAAGGTTCCGTCATCTTTCTCCTTTGGCAGCTACATGGCATTTCTCTGACTCTGCCTTCTTTCTTTCTGCATTTAGTTTAGTTTTCCCCACATACCTCTATTCTGCCCTGCCATAAACCAAAGCAGCTTCTTTATTAACCAATGGTAATAAAGCCATACACAGCATGCAGAGGGGAATCCCACAACATATAAGTAATAATTTCTTTCTAGCTGGCTGTATATTCTAGGCTTTACCCTTCTAATTTGTTAGCAAGGTTATTATTAACTGTCATTAACTTTAAATTTTTCTTAAAATTTACATAATGCCATATCTTTACTGGTATAGGCCATGTGAATACAATAGTAGCATTCCTTTCATCATCTTATAATCTAGACACTATTGACAAGCTTCCTATTAAATATGATGGATTAGAGACAATTGCTTATCTCCATTTGTTCATCTATAATTATGTGGGGACATCAGGATCTCCTGTTTCATTGAGGTTGCTAACTACTATGAGAAAGTATATAGGAAGTGATTTGGACACTGTTTTATCTAGTAAGATTTCAGCACTGACGGCAGGGATACTGTTAACTGTTGAGTCTCCATCCTTGCCTAGAGCAGCTTCCTTTCGGTGCTGTCTTTTTCATTCACCCTGTCTGTCCATCCCTGAAGCAGTGACTCTATCTCCAGGCAGCCTAGGTTTACTGTTTCAGAAAAGCTTCCCCTGCAGCTACCAGGTGAAACATCATCTCTTCTCTCCATTTTCTGCAAGTACAACTTTTCACATTGAGGCTTTAAGTACATGTGGCCCATAGCTTTGTAACACTAATGCAGGAGGTATCAGCATAGACTATGGGATTCTGCATCTCTATACACCGCCTAGTCCCTAGAGTCCCCAGCTGTTAGAATGGAGAGGACCAAAGTCAAGTCTAAAGACCATAATGATTTCTAGCTCCTAGGGCTGCTTTGGTTCACCCTCTGAGTCTGAATGCCTCTGAGTAGCCTCTTGAATTCCCCTGCCTGGCAGAAAAGTGAACCAGAGACTAGCAGACACATGGCCTTCCCATCTGAGTTGTGATGCCATACTATGCTGGTGAAGCCATCTCCAGTTTCCTCGGCAGTCCTTTTACAGTCCCCTTTCTTGTCTTCCAATTTTCACCTCTAAATTTCCTTTACAAGTTGTGTCACATTGAGACCACTAATTAGTTGCCATTTCAGAATTATATATTTATTTGTGACCTCCTCTAGTTGGTAGACAGTGGGCTAGATGTTAGGAATTCTCACTTAAGACACTACAAAATATTCACAGTACTATCGAGAAGAAATACAAGTACAAAATATTCACAGTACTATTGAAAAGAAACACAAGTGAGTTAATAATTAGAGTGTGGTGTAGGATGGGCTGTGATGACTCTGTGAGGAGGTTGGGGGGACACCTGAGCGGTTGAGTGACATATCCAGGGTCACAGAGCTTCTAAGAGTGGGGAAAGGAGTCTTGACTGGCTTCCAAGACAGTGAAGTTTATGTAGTTAGAAAATAAGATATATTCCTGTTTCTTTGACTGTGTGCTTTATAGTATTATTATCTATATTATTTATTAACAATGTGGGAAGTCCTTCAGTCTATGTGCTGTTTTTATTGGTTGATGAAAAAAGAAGCTGTCTGGGCCTGTGATAGGGCACAGTAGAGCTATGTGGGAAAACTAAACTGAATGCTGGGAGAAAGAAGGTGGAGTCAGTGGGATGCCATGTAGCTGCAGGAGAAGACAGGCATCGGAAACTTGTTGGTAGGCCACAATCTAGTGCTGACCCACAGATAAATAGAGAGGGTTTGTTAAAGATATAAGAGTTAGCTATAAATAGGCATAAGCTAATTGGCTAAGAAGTGTTGTAATTAATATAGTTTCTGAGTGATTATTTTGGGTCTGAGTGGCCGGGGAACAAATGAGCATGTCTCTGCCAAGAGAATGATGCTTACAATTTGGGGGGTGGGCATAGATCTACATAAGACCTAAAAAAGGCTTTAAAAAAGAAAAAAGAGGGCTTCTAAACCCATAGAAATGGGAGTCAATTGGAGCTTGTTGGGAGCCACATATTTTTAAATATGCTTTGTTTGTTGATGGCAGGCAGAGGCATGGCTCCTTTAAGAGGTTTCCTGACTCAGCTTTACTGGCAAAAACTGAGTAGCTTCTTTAAGGGAAGGCTTCCTGATTCATGCTGGCAGCATGAACTCTGGCTCTTGGGACGCAGCCCTGCCGCCGCTCCTATTTCAACAGTGAGCAGAGTGCTACAACTTGCTTAATGGCAATATAGACCAGCTGTGTACCTGGAAATGGGGCTGGGAGCATGACTCGCAGAGCTGGCACTGAATGAACCTCTGCCATTTTTGACAGGGCAGAGCCAAAAGCATTTTATGTATTCATACATACCCAAGTCATCATGCACACATAAACATGTTGTCATGTACACATACAACATATACCCACATATGCACACATATGCTTACAACTACTCGGATAGGTACCACAGTTACACTCACACTCCACATATAATCATCTATGCACACAACAGAGCTTGGGCTGGTCACACAGACATTCCCTGTGTTCTTGCTGATGTGATAGAGTACCTTGCTCCCTCCAACACCATATTTTCATGACCCATCCTCTTCTTTTCCCTCCAACTCCTCAAAACAGCACTTGGAGATAGCCATGACCTTTACTTTACAATGTATTTGCTTAAATACATTGTAAAGGGGGCTCCAAATGTTTTTTCAGCACACTAGGTGATATTTCTGTTCAGAGATCTTTAAATGACAAACCTGAACATCTGTCGATGAGCCTCCTGAAAGCATTTTTTTTTTTTGAGCCAGGACAGTTGTTCATCTAATTCAGAGGTTCTTAGCATGTGGGGCACAACTCCTTGGAAAGCCTCCATCTTCAAAAATATTATTATGATTCATAACAGTAGCCAAATTATAGTTACAGAGTAGGAATGAAAATAATGTTATGGTTGGGGGTCACCACAGCATAAAGAATGGAACGATACCAGTGTTAAGGAAAGTTTAGAACCACTGCTCTAATGGGTCTTTGATAGGAATCAAAACAATGTAGGCAAAACAGTGGCCTTTTATTTCAGGATTTTTTTAAAAAGATAAACCAATGTGAAAGACAGACCCCATGCCCAGCATGAGACAGCCATCACTAGACAAGCTCAAAGGCATTTTGGAAGGTTCCTTATCTCATAAAACTTTAGGCATACTTTTGGAGTCTTAATATTTTGTTTTGCTCTTGTTTGCTTGTTTTGCTTTGTTTTTCCTTATATGTCTCTTGTATATGATGGTTTCTGCAATTGTGTTGTTATGAAATTCCTGTGTTTGTGAACATGTGTGTCTCTGCTTCTACATGCGTGTGAACATGTGTGTCTCTGCTTCTACAAGTGTGTGAACATGTACATCTCTGCTTCTACACATGTGAACATGTGTGTCTCTATTTCTACACGTGTGTGAATATGTGTGTCCCTGCTTCTACATGTGTTTCCAGGGCTTTTTCCTTCATTCTTTTCCTTCTGGAAACTAGTTCACTTCATCCTATTCCTATTCTGTCTGTTTTTATTTTATGTTTTATTATTTTATTATTTTTTAGATGCCTGTTTATATTCTAATGGGAGAGAGTTTATATATATATATATATATACTCTCTCTCCACACACTTCAGTGGGTGGGGAATTGGGGAAGATCTGGGAGGACTTGGGGGAGAGGAAACTAATCAGAATATATTGTATGAAAATCCATTTTCAATTTTTAAAAATTTGAAAAAAAGAAAAGATTGTATAAAAGATAAAATAACCATCCTATTTTGTGGGCTTCTCCACCAAGTAGCTCCTATTCCCTCTTTTGTTATACCTCATATCTCAGACAGCTGGCAAGCGATCTTTTACCGTCCCCTGATTGAAGCTGGCCAGCTAAACACTGAGCACTGTGCTCTGTACCCTTCTTCACATTCTGGCCGTTCACACTTTTTTTTCTTTCCCACGGCCAACACGAGGAAAATGAACTTTGGGTCAGGTAGTGTAAGCAACAAACCACAAGATGATTGCCAAATATGTAACCATCCAATTCGCTCCACGGGAAAAACTTCATTAAAGTTAACGTCGAATGCAGAATGCTTGTTTGGGTGTCCAGATGTCGGAAAGCGCCGTATCCTGAGTAGCTGAGATCGCTCGGTTCTTTCCCATCGTCCTTCCTGATTCTGACTGCATGTCAAGTTTCAGGGAAATTCTTTCCCATTACAGTCTACTGATCACATCACGAAAGCATTTAAAAATCCGACTGGTTTCCTATACGAAGAAAGGGAAGGCACAACCACAAAGATTTGTGTAAATGTCACCGTTTGTTATTGGAAGCTGTGCTCGGGCTGGTTGGAGGATTACTGCAGCAAGTCCACTTCCTCCACAGACCACGGACACCCAGACACGCCCACACACTCACACCCTCTCAGGTCTCTAGGAATAAAAATGATTTTCGACCACTTCTTTTTTTTTTTTTTTTTTTTTGTACTTCTGTCTGTGGGTTTACGTTCTTGAGCGTTTTCTAGTCCTGGGAAGCACAAAGGCAGGAGAACTATGCTCTCCATAGAAGGCTGAAAGGGAAGGCCAGAGTCAGGAGGCACCCCACCCCCCCAGCCAGCCCCCAAATGCAGCAAGTTTAAGCTCCTGTCCCAAACTGTGGCTCACTGAAAAGAAAGAAAAGAGTGAGGCCACAATGCTTAGCTTTAACTCTTTCCTGCCAAGAGCTGGACCAGATGCCCGTGGCTGCATTTTTATGGACTTAGGTCATAAATGGGACACAGCTCACTCTTTAGTCACTTGTCACTAAAGAGAAGGAATGTGGTGTCCTCACATGGAAAGAATGCCATGCCCTAAACATTTATTTCTGGCCACGGCTTTCCCAGCCTTGAGATCAAAACTTGAACTAACAGATAAGCCTAGGTCCTGGGCCCTTGCACTAATCCACTCCTTCCCACCCGCGGCAGCAAGGTGCTTGCCCAGCTTGGCCTTCCTCATACTTTGCCCCAGCTGGAGCTGGAGCAATCTTTAATTTCTGTCTAGGTTAAGAGTCTCCATGTTTTCTCACACCTACTCATTTCTCTGGTAGGATTGGGGTTCCTTTACCATCTCCCTCTGCTTTGCCTGGGTTTCTAATGAGACAATTCTGCTGATTAAGGATCTGGCATTCCCACAACACTGCCTCTCATCCATGCTTGTTTCTGTATGAGGAGAGAGAGAGAGAGAGAGAGAGAGAGAGAGAGAGTGTGTGTGTGTGTGTGTGTGTGTGTGTGTGTTGGCAGATCGCATCTGAGTAGGTGGATCCTGTGCATTTTCTAAGCTGGCAGATGCTAAACCAGCATCCTTGGGCAGCATCCCTGACGGAATAGGCCTTTCCCCATGAGATCCGACCACAAAGGACAGTCACCACATCAAAGCCAACAATTTCTTATCCAATACGCAAATCCTCTGGTGCCTGCAGAGTTCATTCTGTATCAAGGGGACAATAATTTTTATATGCAGATAAGAATCTAGATTGGCAGTTTCTATACATTCTGTCGAGGCACACTGACCTCTTTCTCTGCTCAGGCCTGCCATTGGTCCCAGGGTCACACAGCAAGAATGCAGTGTAAGTATTCAAAACCAGATTTCCCCAAACTTAGAAAACAAAAACACACTGGAATGCTTAATGATAGAAAAGAAAATGTGTCAACATCAAGGGCTGGATGTTCAAAGCAAGGGTTAATACATTCATTTTAGCCATACGTTAACTGCCCCAAACTATTTATACAGATGTTGCTTTGTGTCTGTTGGGGAAAGGTGGGTACAGGGCTAGCCTGTGTAAAAACACTCTCCAGTTCCATATCTTAATAAATGTATGACTTAGGGAACTTGTCGAGCTTTTTAAAACCCCAGTTTCTGAGAAGTGTGGCCCAGTGGTAGTACCTTCTTCCTACACCAGAGACTTAGATGAGAACTAAATGAGTTTTAGAAAGACAAAAATCACGTCTCTCATTTATCAGTTCAAGCTTTTATAGATAGGTAGAATCAGATCTGAGCAGATGACAAGAAAGCAGAGCGAAGCTGTCTAGAGGAAAGAAGGGAATTACTGGCTGGGAGAGGGAAAACACAGAGGAGGGAATCGAGGCATGGAGGGATAGGCTCAAAGGGCATCATATGTTTTCATGGCACTGGCTTTCCACAATCCTATTTAAAAATCTTTTCAAAGAAGGGAAAAGCTTGCGGCAAAATAAATAAACAAATTTTCGTGTTCAAATGAACTATTTCATACATAAACCTTAGCTCCATAGCTAGCACAATAGAAAATGTTTACAGATAATTACTGTAATTGATAGTACACAGCAAATACAATTATACATAGTCAATGAACTTGCTATTTCATTCATTTATGGGATTTTTGAGAATCATTTTGCAAAGAAAAAATTGTCATGCAAAGTAACAAATTATAAGTTTATGAAGTTGGGGGTGGGGCAAGATATCTTTGTACCATACCAAGCTTCCATAAGTTGTATGAACTATTTACACACATGTGTGTTTATATTCATACATAGAGACATATGTAGGTATTGTGTGAGAGGAGACATCTCTGCCTTCTTTCTCTTGGATCGAATTTCAGTGTTCCACAGATCAGAGGACCTTGTGAAGATACACACCAACATTTTCTCCTTCTTTTAACATCCCAAGAGGTGGGGCAGGGGAGAGGAGAGCACTAATTACCAGCAGACCTGCAAACTGCAGTGCTTGGGAGAATAGGATGCAGTACCGTATATTTTGTCGTTAGTCTTTCTCCTCCTCAGCCTCCAGCTGCCTTCAAGGAGACTTGGCCTCCCAGGGTTACAGAGAGATGCATGGAATTCAGCTGCCTGAAAGTTCTGGGTATAAGTCATCCCTGATGCTGGCTGAAACTGACTCACCCTGCTTAGCACTTCTTCCTTACTGAGTATCAGTCCTTCAAAGGACTGAATGAGGTCATCTCCTCTTCACTTCCTTCTCTTTTAAAATGCAGAGGCAGGGATCCTTTTCAAGCTCCAGGATCCTGCAATGGTTTTTAAACACAGTTTGTTTCATCTCGTTCTACCCTAACCAAAGCATATCAAATTGTTTTCTAAGTTACCCCACCCAAAAAGGAGGTAGAGTATGTAAAAGGCAAAAGGGAAAATTATAGAAAATTTATAGAATATTCTTTTAAAATACCTTTTCAGCCCCAATTACAGCTTGGCTGGTTTGAGTTTTACTCAACTCTCATTTTCTTTTCAAGATGATTGGTGCTTACTATGAGATAGAAGATATTTCTGGAGTATCATTCTGCTGCCCCTTTCAGGTCTGGAGGCAGGGATCCACTCTGTATCCCAGTCTAGCCTTGGACTTGTATTCTTTCTGATTTTTCCAACTCCCTGGTGCTGGGATGCCAGGAGTGTGCCACTCTGCCTGGCTTTGTTTTTTAAGTATTCTTTTATTTTCTATTTCTTTTTAATGTTTCTATCTGTATGTGCATGTCAGTATATGGGAAGGTGGGTGCCTCTGCCATGACACACGTGTGAAGTTAGAAGACCACCTTACATGTCGGTCCTTGCCTCCTACCTTTCTGAGATCTACTGTTCACTACAGGATATGCCAGACTCGCTAGCCTGTGAGCTTCTGGGGATGCCCCGTCTGTCTCCATCTTTCTTTTGTCTCCACAGTAGCTCTGAGATCTCAGGTGTGTACCTTGTCTAGTCTTCCATGGGATCGGAGGTCAGAGGCCAGGTCCTCATGCTTGCACTGCATTTGATTTATCCAGTGAACCATCTCCCCAGCCATGTTTTTAAGTATTTTTTAAAGTCCCCAGGTCTGAGAGAATTGTAGGGTTCCGTGACTCAGGACACGTGGTTGTCAGCATTGGTGTCCTTTGGCAATAAAGCGGTGCCTTCAGAGGAACAGAGGTGGTCAGGCCCTGTAACCTCTAGGGACACAGAAAATGCAATAATACAAGCAGATATGGGCATGAAATAAAGTAAACTAACAGTTTTTATCATGACTGGTGATGTTTCAATAAGATGGTAGCTTAAGATGGAGAAATAATAATAACACATACACAAAAGTGAAACTATATTAAACACATTATCAATCATTGTGTGTTGAAGGGATTGACAAAGCAGGAATGAGGGACAATGGTGACAAGGTCACTAATACCCCACCTTATGCTTACAGCCCACGTGACTAGAAAGAGGAAATAAACCAATGGCAAACCTTTCTTCTGTTACTATGGTAACTAGGGTAACCTTTCCCTGTTACTATGGTAAGACACCATGACCTCAGAGAAGAGAGGGTTTACTTAACCTTGCAATTTCAAAAGAAAAGAGTCTGTCTGTAATAGGAAGATACAGAAACGGACGGGGAAGGCATGGTGGGAGAAGCAGGAAGCTGACTGACCTCATTTGCATTAGCATACAGGAAACAGAAGAAGAGGACAGGAAGTGGGGTTATGAACACTCCCACTGTGTGTCACTGATGTTCTTCCTTCAGCACTGCTCCACCTCCTAAAGGTCTCTTAACTTTCCCAAACAGCACCACCCACTGGGGACCACAGGTTAGAATTCCTAAGCCTGGTGGGGACTTTCTTTATTCAAACCACCACACCTAGAAAGACACTGTGGGGGCAGTCAACACGAAACTCCCACACATTCCATCTGTTGTCATTCACCGCCCTGCTGGGGTACCGGGACTTCTGATAGTCATGGTTTCTCCATTGCTCTCGGTATCTCCTGCTCACTGGACTAGAATGGATTCAGAGTGGGAAGATCTCTCTGAATGTCACAGGGGTCACTGGTTTTGTTCTCTGTCCTATCATCACACCTGACACGTAGAAGTGGCCCCGCAAAAGTCACTGAATGCATTTGTATACTGTGCAGGCATATAGTCATTTTTCATCTTTTGTCTTCATCCATTCTTTCACTATTCATTCCTGCAAACTCTGGACACTGGGGGAGCACCCACTCTGCTCCAGCAAAAGACACAGCATTAAACCGATACCTCAGTGCATAGAAATGATCAATAAAATGATGGTGCCATGGAGGAGAGCAGTGGAGCCAGATGAGGAGAAGCTCCAGTTCAGTGCTGGTTGTTAGTATTATGGCCTGTTCTGGATGTTTCTGTGAAGCCACGACTACTGAACTGGTATCTAAATGATGTATCTGAGCAAACGTGGCAAAGATGAGGGAAAGCCATCCAGATGTATGGAACACTGGGTGGTCTGGAGTGACTGTGATGAATTAGAGCAAGAAACACTAGAAATGTTAACAGAAACTGGACCACTAAGCTGCTGACTGCTCAGCAGATCCGGTGTGCAGGACGCTTTTCTATCAGTTAAGTGTAGCCAGCTCAAACTCAGCTCAACCAAACACAACTATGGTCTGCGAGCATTGTTAAGAAAGCCCCTTCTGCTGGGGCCAAGTGAGTGGGTCTCAGACATGGTGAGCAATGAAAGTTCTCTGGAGGCCATCCCAGAAGAAGAAGGGCTTGACCCAGACACTTAGAGAAGACTGGGCCTATCGAACACAGGTTCCAAATGAAAAGATCCAAACCGGCAAGGACATTCTTAGGCAGCTTTCCAGGTGCCTTGACACCATCCGCCCAATGTGCAAAGTCACACTGAGATTGAGATTCAGATAAAACTCTCACAGATGCCCGCCCACACAGAAGGCCAGAATGAGTGACTGCACCTGAGGTTTCCGGTGCATTCCTTCAGATCAGAACAGATGACATGCTAGTCATTTGCTCCCTGTGTGTGCTCCAAAAGGATACTTAAGCAAAGGCACAGGTGGCCTCTTCCATCTGGCACAGAGGGCCACTGTGTCTGTTCATACCAAGTGGCTCAAGATTCAGCAGAATGAACCAGGAAAGAAGGGCAATAAACTTGATCACTTCTTACATACATTCCAGATGGACTGCTCACACATTCCCAACTCTTACATTACCTATAGTCAAGTTTTCTTAATACAATTACCCTCCCACCATGCAATTCTATAAATGGTTGAGTTTCTGGACAGTTCTGGTTACTTAAATCCTTATTAATTCACACTACTGCTGTTTCATGATTGAGAAAACTGAGACACACACAGAGAGAGGGAGGGAGGGAGAGAGAGAGAGAGAGAGAGAGAGAGAGAGAGAGAGAGAGAGAGAGAGAGAGAGAGAGAGAGAGAGAGAGAGAGAGAGAGAGAGAGAGAGAGAGAGAGAGAAAGAGAAAAGGTGACTTAGCCAGCACCTCAGTTGGATTTGAACCTGAGGTATCTGACTGCAGAATACTCTCATACCCTTACGTTGTTCTGCCTTCTAAGGTATACAATAACCCAGGACTCACTGACTTATCTCCTGGGAGGTATCAATGTGTTCATCTTCATAGGGTGGGCACCATCTCTGTGTGAGCTTACCCCTCTGGGTCACTGCAATACAAAAGTTGACACAGTCTACAAAGAGAAGAGGCAACAGCTGGATTTGTCCTGACCCACCTCTGATCTCAGCTGTCAATTGCATATAAAAGGAAGCTCACTTGCCCCAGAATTACCATGAAAAGCAGCTTGTTGACTGGTCTATTTTAGATTCTATTCACACACATTAATTGATCAATTCGACAAGTGTGGATTGAGCCCTTATTCCATTCCTGGCACTTTCATTAGGCATGAAAGACTGCCGTCAGGAAGCCAGGTCCTTCCTATTGTTCTTGAAGCCACAGTCTAGTGAAAATGACAGATGAGAAGTGTTAGAGATAGGCTTGGTATCTAAAGGACAATCAGGTAGTGACACGTGTTATATGAATGAAAGAAAAAAAAAAAACAGGACATCCCTAGGTATGGTGGAGGAGAAGGTTTATTGTACATGAGGGAGACAAAAGAGGCATCTGGGAGGGTCCAGACTGAACTAAGCCATGAGAGGAGGAGAGGAGATGGGGAAGAGATGTAGAAGGGGGCAGAGCAAGAGAGAAAGAGAAGTACAAGGGGGGCAAGTGGACCAAGAAAGGAGCTGAGAACCAGTGGCCAAGAGGCTGCGTAGTCCAAATGGCTGAGGATATATAGGGAAGAGAAGCTGGGGGAAGGAAAGGAGAAGCCTAGACCCTGGGGCGGAGTGGTTTGGACTGGGGACAAGGTGACAAGTTCTGAGAGGAGCCACAGGTACTGGGTGTTTGGGGTTTTTTTTTTTTTTTTGAGCTTTATTTTTTTGGGGGTGATGATAAAGGGACAATGAAATCTCTTGTGTAACTACTTTCTGCTGAAATTGGGGTGTCCCTGTCAGGGTCCAGGAAGGCAGGAATGATGGTCAAAGAAGGGAAGGGAGGAGCTCTAGGCAAAGGATCCCCAGGGTTCTATTTTTACATATAAAACGAACTAACTAACAAGACAGCTATAGTCTTGAGGAAGGAGTTGGTTTGCTTGTCTCTGTTAACATAAAGTCACAATTAGCCATCAATATCACCAGAGATCTGAGAAGGATAAACTATAGCAGGATATAATTCAAATGCCCTTGTGTCCATCAAAATGGCAGAGACAGTACCCTAGGCTCCCATGGTCTCCACGACTGTGTTAGGGGTCAGAGGTCGTATAGGCCTTCCACTCTCATAGAACAGCATTAGATTTTCAGCTCTTGCACAGGACAGCAACTGCCTTTGGCTGCCAGACCCAGAAAGCTTGAGAGAGTTTCCTGTGGAGGAGGAACCTGGAAAAACTGAGCTGCTTTGGCAAGGCAGAGCAGGGTCGTCAACCCAACAGTGTGTCCATTTTGTGGGCAAGGCCCTGGTGGCAGGTGAGGCATTGGGTAGTTCTTTCTTCCCAGTGGTTGGCATTACCGTGGTTCAGATGGAGTTGTCTGTGCCCGGTATTCTTTGGAGACCGTAGGCTCACCACCAGGAGTTGGCATTTCTGCCTATCGTGAGAAGCTTTTTATTAAACATTTTAAATGCCACATTCAGCAGATCTCCAAGAGTTTGAGGACTATCATCTATTCAGAATGTCTGATTTTGAAATAAACTTGACTTGTTTTTAGTTACTAGCTTTAGGTTTAACCATGGAGAGTTTATTGACGAAGTTCAATAAAGCTTGTGCCTATAAATGAATTACATTTGTACTTAGCATGACTGTGAGCCTCGTTCTGAGTGAATTAACGAATTTGGTCCTGTTTGAGGTGGCTGGGCATTAACTTGCATGTCTTAAGCATCTTTAACAGTTTACAATGGTAGTAGCTTTGATAGGACTTTATAGCTTTACCCCTGTTAAGTTTGAGCCTTAAAATTATGAGTTGAAGATTTAACTGAAGATCCTTTAGTATCAAAATAAAAATTTAAACCATAAATACAGTCCCTAGTGAGACTGGGAACTTTTCCAAACTTCTTTATAGTGTACCATTACAGAATATTGGTTTCTTGTAAATATCTGTGTTTTTCAATAGTTGTAGGTGACCCTGAGAAAAGTCATTTGACCCCATATGGGTCTCGGCCCACAGGTTGAGAACCACTGATCTTAAGATATTTTTGTTTGGTTTGGTTGTTGGTGGTGGTGGTGTGGAGAGTGGAGAAATCATAGAGATAAAATGTCTTCTTAAGAGTGAAAAGTAGAGAGGCCTTAGACATAAGAGAACTTTGGAAGTGTAGAGCAAAGAAAGTTGAACTATGAAAGATTTGGGTCATTTGTTTGTACGTTTGTACAGTGGCTGAGGTTGTTACCATATGAGGGAGTCTGAAAAGCCAGTGTGTCATCCTCAACCAATGATTGAGCTGCACTGAGGCCAAGCCATTTGCAGTAGGACGGTGAGGCTATAAGAACATCTCTGAGTCCAGGCAAGAGAAGTCTGTGAAATGACTTCTGCCCGAGGGAGGGTTTCTCTAAGAGGGAGCTGAGAGACAGAGAGAAGCTCAGGAAGGCTGAAAGCCGCTGCAGGACTTTCAGGAGGGAGATGATAGGGATCAGGAGAGCAAAGAGTAGGAGCTCCACCTGGAAGAATTTCAATATTGTAGGGGCCCAGAAGGATTTGAGGAAATGGCAGGAACTAACAGGCACCTCCTAGTGGAAAAACAGGTTAGGCCCAGGAAGGCACGAGGAGAGCTAGAGCAGGTAGCTCTGAGAAAAGCTTGCAGGCTTGGAAGGACTTTATGGAGTTTCCAGGAGGGAGCTGCAAGCGGCAGAGGAGAAAGTAAGTATCATGGTAAGTAGAGAGTTACCAGTGAGTTGGGGCTCCAAAGGCCACAGTAGGGTTCAAGAGCCAGAGCGATATGCTCAGGAAGGCCTAGCAGGCTGGAGAAGCCAGAGAGACATCTACAGAGAAGATGAGGAGAGATCAAGAGTTAGAAAGGTGCTGAAGAGGCAGACTCTAGAACTTGGAGTCAAATTCGATGGGTAGCAGAAGCCAGAAGAAACAAATGATATGTACATACCCTAGCAAAGTCAAATCAGCAGCTTGGTTCAGAGAGGCCAAGTCCCTTGGAAGGGATCTCATAGATGCCAATCTTGTGGTTTCCGCACTAGATGAGAGAGAGAAAAAAATGAGGTCATGACACTCTTAGGTATGGTGGAGGAGAAGGTTTATTGTAGATATGAGGGAGAAAATAGCCAGAAACATCTAGAAGGATCCAAACCAAATGGGGCCATGGTGGGGGGCAGCATGAGAAGAAGAGGAGATGGAGAGAAGAAGAGAAGAGAGAAAAGGTCAAGAGGACCAAGAGAGGAGCCACGGACCAAGAGACTGCACAGCCAAAATAGCTGAGGTTGTATAGGAAAGAGAAGCTGGGGGGAAGGGAAGCAGAAACCCAGCCCCTGAGAGGGAGAGGTTTAGGGTAGGGGACAGGGTGAGAAGCACTGGGAGGAACCACAGAAACTGAGTGAGATTTGTCCTGGGTTTCTTTGAGACACCTAACACTGTGAAGAAGAGAAAAGCAGGACAGACAAGAGGTCAGAGGCTTGGGGAACAGGCACAATGAGGACAAGGTCACCTAGAGTGTGTGCACGTGGTAGGAAGACAGAAGCGTGAAAGCCTCCAGCACTGAGGTGAACGCAGGCAGCACTGACCTGGGGGAGGAAGTGCTTTATCATAATGAAACCAGCTGCAACGGATGCTGCCCACCTTCTCAAGGAATGTCCTGCTGACCTGGCAATGGGGGCATTCTCATTGGCAATCCCAAGGGTATTTTCAGAAGGAGAAAATAGGACTGGAGAGTTAACAGCAAGGGGAGAACACGGGAAAGCAAGGCAATAAGTGTGGGAAAATAAGAACAAACAAAACCTGTTCAGGAATTTTTTGTAACGGAATAGGATACATGGAGAGAAAGGATACTGTATAATGGAAGCTTTCAGGGCTCGCTTTAGTTCTTGGTTTGTTTTTGTTTTCGTTTTCTGAATAGAAAGGCATCAAACCACATGTTTTTATATTACAAGAAACAGTCAAGTAGAAAAGGGAGAACTGACAACATGAAACAAGGAATGGTCTTATGTTTGAAGATGATGCTCATTTGTATGGGCGCAGCCAATATAATTAAGGTAGGAGACATAATGCTGACATTCACCTGCATAAGGCGTGTCAGTTCTGCAGACAACAGACCAACGAGTGCACCATGGGAGCGACTCGGCTGCCAACACAAGCCAAGGCCAACACAGCAGTTGTATGCTTCGTGCAATTCCAGAGAAGGGATTTGATTGTCATCCCGGGTCAGAATTCTTTACTAAATGCTCAAGTTAAATTTCCCAAGAATCTTTGATTTTTCTACCAAAGTCATCTCAAAGAATGATATTTAAAGAGGCTTGGAAGTTGCTCAGTTGGTAAAATATTCAACACATAAGGAGAAAGACTTGAGCTAAAAGTCCAGAATTCACATAGAAAGCAGCTCTGGGAAGGAGGAGAAAGGCAGGTCCATAGAGCTTACAGTCCAGTCAGTCTAGCTGAATCAGTGAGCCATAGGCCAATGAGAGTCCCTGTCTCAAAACACAAGGTGGAAAGCAACACCCAAGGTTGATCTCTGGCCTCCACATGCATGTATATACACAAAATAAAATAAAATAACGAAACAGAGTATGGGCTACACATTTTCTGATAGGTAGATAGTTTTAGCTAGAACAGACACCTCTCAAAGTCTACCTACATTTTGGATATTATTTCAAATTGCTTCCTGTGTGCATATTTAGCCCTCCCCATCCACTCAATATAGAATGACATCTCATATCCAAAGCATCGTGGTTATGGGTTTGTTTAACTGATCTGAGAGTAAGGCGGACACAGAGCAAATCAGCTTCTGTCCATGTAAGAACTGACCAGGAGCCCTGAATATGCCTGAATATGCCGATTCCTGTGGGCTCATAACATGAGACCTACTGAAGAGATGGTCACCACTCGGCTCGCTCCTGAGATGCACATTTGCCTCCGGAGAAAAGGCCAGAGTCACTTCCAAATGCCCAGTCGGGGAACAAAATTACAAATGAAGTGGCCGGGATCCTCAAACTCTTTAAGAACACTAGAAGATCAATGCCAACTTGATGAAAACACTTTTGCATTCATCATGTTCTCCTCTTGCTTTCTGAAACAGAGCACCCAGATCTAGGGTAAGAGAAGAGGAATAGCTGAATGTATTGGTAGCAGTTTCCTGACTTCCTTAAGTCGATTTGTTGCTGTAGCCTAGCAAATGACACTAATATAAGTATTATATGAATAAATAAGAGAAAGAAAAAATGAATGAATGAATGAATGAATGAGCAGGCACATGGCAAAGAGGCATGGGAGATCATGTCTGTCTCACAGGTGCTCTCCTGTGCTGTTTCTCCCACAGTGTAATTCATTCATCTTCCTCTTGGTTTGTTTTGGTTTGGTTTGTTTTTAATATCTAAATAATCCAAGCCAGGCTTAATTCACTGTGCCTAATGATACCTCAAATGTTTATAATTCAATATCAGAAGTGTGTGTTAATATCTGCATTTTGTTTTGTTGTTTGGGCCCTTGGTCCTTTGTCCTTAGCCTCCGTTGTCCCATCAGGCTATTGACTCATCCAGCACACATGCAGAAATAGGTACTAGAGAGGCTACTCTTTCCGGAGATGGGCAAATGGAAGCAGGGACTCAACATCTCTGAGCTCGCTGAAGAAGCTGGGATGGGATGAAGCACACAGCAGGGTGAATCAGCTCCCTTATCAATAACCCTTCTGGGATATGCCTGATGGTCATCTTCAAAGCATTCAGTTTGAGTCAGCATTTGAATCATTCACCTATTTCCTTAGTTTTTTTGTTTGTTTGTTTGCTTGCTTGCTTGCTTTGGCTTGGTTTGGTTTGATTTTGTGAGACAGGGTTTCTCTGGGTAGCTTTGGAGCATGTCCTGACACTTGATCTCTAGACCAGGCTGGCCTCGAACTCACAGAGATCTGCCTGCTTCTCCTCCCCACGCCCAAGTGCTGGGGTCAAAGGCGTGTGCCACCACGACCCAGCCTTCTTTAGTCTCCTATGCTTACCTGCCCATGGGAATGTCACTAGCACAAAACCCTCATCAGGACAGGACCCAGGGATCCTTCATTTCCTCTGGCTTTTCCCATAGGTGATGATAACTCCACGCCATCTTGGAGGTGTTTCTCCTCTTGCTGCTGATGGGAGCAGTGACTTAAGAAACTCATAGCCTTGACATTGGGGGGTGGCACACACACCTGTAATGCCATCGTTCAGGAAGCAGAGGCTAAAGGGTCCCAAGTTCAAAGCCAGATCAGTCAATATAGTGAGATGCTGTAGAATAAAAAAATGGGGCTTAGGGAGAGGAGAGAAGGAAGGAGAAGAAAAACAACTGCAGCACCATGGCCTCTTTAAGATTTTGTTTCCTTGAATGTTGAATAAGATCCCTGGGGTTGATAGTGGTAAGATGGAGTCATTCCCTGGCAAGGAAATGGTTTTTCACAACTAGAAGGACACTCCAGCCCTTCACGGGTAGAACAAGGAAACTATTAGTGATGAAATCTGAAGACTGATGTGCCCTGGAGAGTTCAGGACGTACCTTCAGATGCAAACCTCAACTTTAATGCTCGCCAGCAACAGTGAGCGCTCCCGGAAAGACTCACAGCTAAGTGAAAGGCAAAGGGCACCAGCTGGGCACTGCTTCAACTTTTCTCCAACCAGGTGCAAGTGAGGATGGAATTCTGGCCACAACAGTTTAGTTTTGTGTTTTAATATATACTCTTACTTTTAATAATAAAAGATCAAAGAAGAGAATGTCCTGGGACAATAAAGACAGTATATCAAAGAGATTCGGGACATGCTGTCAAGCCCACTCTTCCCCACCCCCTCGCCCCGGATTAGCAGTAACATTTGGGGACCACCAGCCAATCCCTCATGACTCTTATTTCTTTACCTTGTGTCAGAGATGCTGCACACAGTATAAATGTCCACTAAATTTACATGGGCTGCTCACGGCATCTTCAAAAACAAGCTTTGCATTAGATTTCACAACTGCAGGCCCACATAAGTGCTCTCTGGGACACTTAATACATGCCAGAGAACCTGTGGTGCTCAGTGGATTAGAAGCCAAGACACAGTAAATTCTTTCTTTTTGTTTTCATTAACCAGAGTCTTTCTGTACAACACTTCCTGGCCTTGAATTTGTGGCAATCCTCTCAGCTCAGCCTACAGAATCCCGAGATTAAATGTATTTTAAACTTTGAATAGTTTCAATTTATGGTATTTTTATTGGGATGGAAACCCATCAGAAATTGAATATTATCCATACCAACTTCATAAGACTCTTTAAGGACAAAGTAGCTAATTCACTCTCGAATTTGATAAAAATGTTTTCCAAGTAGCAGGGAAGAGGCTTTGGTAAAGCCTCATTGGTATTATTCTATTATTGTTCTATTTGCTTTTTATGCTTTCTAAACAGAGATTTAATGAAAATGGAGGTTAATGAATTCTCTTTGACTTATCAGGGACAGGGAAGGAGAGACGGAGGGAGAGAGGAGGGAAGGAGGGGAAAGGAGAAGAAAGAGGGAGAGAGAGAAGAGTAGAGAGGAGAGAACAGAGAGCATGTCAGCATCCAAGCAAATGGACCATAGAACTGCTCCCCCTCATGCCCACCAAATAAAAACAACCAGAGTTCCTGTCATCCACATAAACATGGCTGCTTCCATGGCATTGGGCCTTTTGAAATAGAGTTTCATTTTATAGCTCAAGATGACCTTGAACTCATGATCTTCTTGCCTTGGCCTCAGGAGAGCTGGGATTGAAGGTCCATGCCATCACACCCAGTTCTTGGCTGCTCTCAGTCGCTCTTGGCTGCACTTCATCTCTCTCATCCTACTCAAAGGTGGTGCTTGAGCAACTGCTCACCAATCAACCCATCACCATGAGTGACCACGCGGACGTGGCTTGAATGACTGACTGCTCACTGACCAACCCATCACCATGAGTGGTCACCTGCACCTATTACTGCCTCCGTTTGTCCTTCGGCCCAGGATGCCAAAAGGAAGCAGCATTCTTCCTTTGGGGACTACTTGCATGACAATGCCCACTTCAAGAGTTAAAATAGAAGCTTGGTTTGTTGTAAACTAAAGTGACCAAAATGAAATATTGCCTTTTGTGCTGTGACTTTTCATAAACTACTCTCTGTTATCCATTCTTACAAAAGAGGCATTCCTGTCATTAGTGTCGGCGAGTTTTCCAGTTTTCCTCCAAACTGTCTTATTAACCCCCATTTACCTAAAGGGGAAGCAGGGACATTTTATCTCCACTTTAACTCTTCATCCCCTTATTCTATCCTTCCTCCTTATCTCTCACCTAATAATAAATATTGCATAGACATAAAGGGTGATCAAGTGGTAAAATAAATCCACTGATGTGTTTAAATGAGATCCACATATCTGCATATAAACCCACACAGACAAATATTTACATGAATTATACAGCTCTATGTTTAAATTTTGCTTTCTTGAATCAACAGATAAACATTTATAGAGATAAAAACCCTATTATTAATCCTATTATCAATACAGTAGGACAAGGCAGTACAAGAGCCAGGAAGGGATTATAAGGGGCCTCCCTGCTTATCTTCCTAATCGTTTCTCCAGAACATCCCCTTTGGAACAAAAACAAAATGTCCAAGCTTTCCTTGGGAGCCATGGGTTTCTCTGGGTACATTTATTTTGGAGTTATTCTGGAGGCAAAAGCATCAGAGACACATGTCTATCTGGTTGCTATTAGTGTTTTGGAAACTCCAAATGAAATGCTTCAGGCTAGCAACTAGAGGTGTTGATCAAACAATAGTTTCCCAGCCAACGTCCAAACTGGGTGTACCCAGATGACTTTGCACTTAAGCAGTGGAATTTGGAATATGTGGGTAAAGCTTGACTAATTATAGTGTTGACCACAGTAAAACCATGAAGCATCTGGCTTATTATGCAGAGAAACACATATAGAAATGCTTATGGGGAGTGCACAGTGCTCCTGAGACAGCCATTCCACATGCAATTACCAACTTCATATTCCAAAGAAACTCTGGACCAATACGTATACTAAATCATTTGGGTTCGTGGTGGCCTGGTAGGCTACCTCATAGCTTCTCACACTGCTTTATACAAACGAAGAGCATATTCTAGGCATGAAGATATAGGGGAAGCATCCAGATATGAATTACTGAAATAATTACCAGAAAATTCTGCTGCACACATCCAAGGTCTGTTGACATGGTCGAATATCTGCCCATCAGCCTAAGTAAGCTATTACATAACAGCTCAGCTATAATAAAATCCTGATTCCAAATCAAATAAGTCTCCCAGACTTCTAAAATGAGTCACCAACAGCTCTATAAACATACAAAGTACTTGACAAGGAAGTCTCTGATAATTTTTTAGTAATTATGTCTGCAAATTGTTCCTTGCTGACATCACCAGCAGCAATGGTTTCCCATAAGGTTTGCTTCCCTCTAACATCTGCTCGTTAATCACCGAGGCTTTGACTATTTCTATCATTATTAGGTCATTTACAAGGTCTATGTGATTATCCAGGACTCTCCTTAGTGGAGTTCTTAATTAGTGGAATCAGGGTGATCAAAGCTAGGGTAATTAGGGGCTTATCGTTCCTTGCAGTCCTTTTTGGGTGCACACTCACAGAATCGTCATACCTGGATCGTAAAAGCACATTACTCACACTCACACACACACATACACACACACACACACACACACACACACACACACACACACACGACACTTTGCAAACATCTTAAAATAAAGGCAATGGAGAGAGAGCGGGGTAGGGTTGAGGGGTCACTGAGTTGACCAATCTTGTGTTTAAAGACATTCCCAAGCACTGGCATCATCCTTATTTGTGTTGGACGTGAGATTTCACATTCTGCTGACATGTGATCCATAAACCAGCTCCGAGCCAAACACAAGTGTCAGCTGCTGGGTCCTGCCCTCCGTGCTGTCTGGTGATAAGTACAGGAGAGCCAGGAGAATGGTGAAGAGCGAGCGGGTCTGCTGATCAGAAGAAAGGAACCAACGCGGACAGGGCTCTCAAGTTCATCCCCAGGAAAGAGGTGGCCCACAGGAAAAGTTAGTCAAAGGCCTAGGAAAGTGGTTGACAAAGGGACTACTTGGCTTAGGCTGTGCCATTACAATGGACATGACCCAGAATCAACCAAGCCCTTGATCCCTCTGTAACTGTACTCATCTAGTGATAAACACTGGCTCTGTGGAACCCTGAGAAAGTGCAATGTTTAAAGTCATTCAGAATGTGTCTAGAGTCTGGATTTCTCCCGGAATGACCTGTGGGAGCTGGCGGGCCAGCAACTTTACCACTGGAATGCAGGTGGCTGAATAAGCAGAGGACTTCCACTGAAAACAAAATCTCTGTCAGCACAGCGTTGAAGTCTTCAGCAGAATACTTAGAGTACACACACAGTGAGAGGAAGGTGTGTTTCGTGGGAGAAGGGAGTTCTGGAGATACTGTCCGATTGATTGCGGAAGAAATGCTTTGTACCAGTTGAGCATCTAAGCGAGCGATGGGCTGACTCTAAGGCCTACTGTGCAGTAAGAGACAGCCAAGCAGAGGCTGCACGCTAAGTGATTCTCTTCACTCATCCAGGTGTTTGTGAGACTCTATGGTGGAGTGCCTGCCAAGCACAGGGTACTGAGGAGGCAAAGATGAATAGAATTGAGCCCTTTGTGTCCAGGAGTTCATAAAACAATGGATAAAGTACACCTCACAGTGGAAATTCAGAATCTAATGCAATGATCACATCACCCAGCTGTGGACAGACATCAGGCCTACCCTCGAAAGGAGCTGGAGCAATGGCTTCTCCCACTGGGGCCATTCAGTTGTCTTTCTAGGCTTCTGAAGGAACAGAGCTTCAGACTCGTTGACTGTATTTCTAGAAAAGAGGAGGAGGCCTGCTTCTTTATCTTAAAAACAAGCAATGTAAGAATGGGTAGGATGTTGAAATAAGAGCGGCGGGGCTGCGTCCCCAACACCCCGGCCGCTTGGCTAGCTCATGCCCGAAATAACAACACACAAACTGTATTCATTTAAGAACTGCTTGGCCCATGAACTCTAGCCCTTACAGGCTAATTCTTGCACCTGGACTAGCCCATTTCTAATAATGCGTGTAAGCACCCCAAGGTGCACTTACCGGGAAGATTCTAGCCTCTGTCCATCCTGGGAGAGTTGAGCATGGCGTCTCTGCTCCAGCAGAACTGTCGGGTCTCTCCGGGAGCAGAGCAGAGTCTGACCTCACTTCCTCTTCCGCCCAGAATTCTATTCTGTTTATTCCACCCACCTATGTTTTAACCTATGAGGCCAAGCAGTGTGTTTATTACTTAACCAATGAAATCAACAGATTGACATATGACACTCCCACATCACTGTAGGAAACAAAAGAAAGAATGATTTTGTTAAAGAAAGTGAGTCAGTAAGGGAGGAGGAAGTAAAGGAAAAACAAAGTGACCCTCAGAAATGGCACTTTCTATAGGAGACAGGGTGTTTTCTCTCTGCCTCCTCAGGAAGTAAGAATTTTGGCATTATACTTATCACAAGAGCTCGCGCACACACTCACACACACACCATGGATTCTGTTTCCATACGATAATTTTTTAAACTAAAGAGTTAAGCTATTTAATCCATTCTAGAAGATTTGTGAAGTGACTTCAGCTGCTTTGCACAGAGTCCACACTGACAGACAGGATCAGTATCGAACTAGGAGGAAGGTAGGCACCTCCTCGTACCCCAAGGCCCCTTTGGGACGAGGAAATCAAGTGATGAGAAGCAGGAACCCCCGTCAGTTATGCTGAGGAGCTATGAGGGGTATGCAAGGTGACAGAAACCTGAGAAGGAAACATGTGGCCCTGAACCAAGTCCGCTCTGGGCTCACTGAATTCAGCGAGAAATGTTGAGCTTGCTTCCTGTTCTGACAGTTGAGAACTTGACTGGACAGGATGGCTGACAAGGTGAGTCACGATGCCCTGTGGAGCAGGGGAGGAAATGTGAGCTACAGTGACCCCCTGAGTGGGTGACGGTGACCTACATGGGATGACTCTGGAGGATTTAGACTCTCAAAGGGCTGTCCAAGCAAGCAAAGACACTAGACTGCCCCATGTTAGATGGACATACTTATCCCAGAACGAAATGGAATATTCGTGCTATGCTAATCTCATACACGGTAACAGCAAGCTACTGGGGAGAATTTTATTCCAAAAGGGATTTTGTCCCTTAAGACATGGCCCAACTAGTTGAGTGACACACTATCGCTCAAAATAGACTATTCTGGAGCTAATTTTTTAAATACAGTGAAAGTAAAGAGTAGAGAAATATTTCAAGAAAAGAATTCTTAAAAAAGGCAAAAATACAAGGTAGGCTATGAGGGAAGGGGAAGAAGATTGAGGAATGGTATCAGAGGGGAAGGCTGGAGATGATATTGGGAGTGGATATGCTAATCATGATATCTCTGTGTGGCAATGTCACAGCAAAACACACTAACTTGTACAATCAATATGGCTGGATAATAATTTCTGATTTTTACAAAGGAAAAGGATGCCAAGAGCCATTATCACAGAGACCCACAACTGCTCAGTATGCAGAGAATAAGACTGTGCAATCCATCCTTACAAATGCGACAACTTCTCGCACTCCCTCCTCCCACGGTAGGCAAATGTAGCAGCTTCTCCTTGGAACCTCTTTATGCCCAGGCTGCTGTTGGAAGGCGACATCTATTCCAGGGGACTCGTCCTTTTTGGAATATCCTTAAAGTTCTGCCCTGAGGCAAGACTTGTATTTGAATCCAGACCCAATGGAGTCAATGGCCAAGACTAACCATCGCAGAGGTTGGGTAAAAGCAAAGGAGCATAAATTGTGATTTTGGTGCAATACAAGGAAGAGCTTCTGGTATCTATAGCTATCGAAACATGTTGAATCTCTGGCAGCTCAGAGGATCTCGGAATGAGTATATTTTTACGCCTATATAAAACTATGCTGGTCAACCTGAGCCACCACCACTGTGTGGTAAGCAAATGCATGGAGTGTGTTTATCTCAAATTTCAACTCTTCTTTTTCTCTCTGTTCATTTTTCATGTGTCTGTATATGTGGAATGCCTGTGTGTGTGC